ATATTCTTTCACAATGCAGTCATTTTGACTGCTTTGGGCAATATAGGTATGTACTAAGTTTCAGTCTTTCTAGTGTTAAAAATGTGAAAGAGATGACCATATCTATTAATTTTGGTGAAAGTCCTGATAATATGATAAGATGATTCAGTCCTCAGGGGTCGATTTTACATAAAAATTCATTCATCCTCACAACGCCTATCCTTTTCTTTACCATGAAACGTTTGACGTGTGTTTCAGGGAGTTGCACAAGGTGTAATAAAAGACGACATCATGCCAGAATTAAAGGAGCACATCGAGCCCTGCGCCAAAGAGCATGATATTCCTCTACGTAAATACGACATACCGATTATACTATCATAAATGCCCTAATTTCTATCGTAAAATAATTCGTTGAAATTTTAGCTTTGGACGTGGAGAAGTTCTACGATGCCAGCGTAACTGGTGAAGAAAAAACGAATTACGGATGCATGAAAGCTTGTATGATGAAGCGCATGGGCTTGGTGAGTACAATGATTTCTGCTCATTGTCATCTTCCATTTACTATGTTATTACGTCTGTGAATTTAGATGGAAAACTCTAAAGTTAACGGAGACAAGATTGTGTCGTGGATGGAGAAACTTTATGAAAAGAAGCCAGACAAAATTCCGAAGAGCCAGGAAGTTGTAAAGAAATGCAGCGACGAGGGTGAGTACAAGCAGAATTCTCATAGTGCATCGAGATATTAATACCTGATTCCCTTTTCAGTCAATACCTTAACCGACGAATGCGAAATGGCCTTCCGCTTCTCGACTTGCACGGTCGAGAACGACAATTAAACGATCGAACGGTTCTGTCTCTCTTTAAAAATATCGATACTCCGGCGAAATGAAACATTTTTACGATTGTATGTATAAACTCGAATAGCGATTCAATAAATTTTTACGTTTGGTTCATGGAATATTGTCTCTCACTTGTCCTTAATCTCTCCTGTCCTTACTCTTTACTTCCTTAGAAAGAATTCTGCTACAATAGTGTGGGATTTTATTTAGAAACGGGTATACAATTGAAATAGAAATTGTGAAGACTTAACACTAGATTGCCCAAGGAAGTAATTTTGACTGCTTTTGGGCAAATGTACAAATAATAATGCATAAATTATTTTTTTTCCCAAGTGAAGTAAATTTTTTTTATCGTTAACATTTACTAATAACTTGTTATATGACTGTAAATAATATAAAAAATATTAAAAATTAATTTTAGACAAATTTCTTTACACATTATTCTTTCACAATGCAGTCATTTTTACTGCTTTTGGG